CGCGCCAAGCGGGGCCGGCCTCGAAGTCCAAAGGCCGCGCCAGGTACAAGCGCCCAGAAGCCGCATCCAGAGCGAAGGTGCCGTCAGGATCAGCGCCACCGACCAGTGTGTAGGTGAGTGCGCCCACAGCCGCCGACTCCGGCGGCGCCACCGAGCCCAACAAGGATCCAGGCGGAAGCCCTTCAGCTGCGGTTACAGTCAGGACCACGGGCACTGGTGCTGCCCGGTCCGGCTCTGAGAGATCTGGCTGAGGCTCTGCCACGCGAGTCGAGGGAAGCACCTGTGGTGGATCGGGGTCAGGATCAGGAAGACCCGGGTAAAAGCAGTTCAGCGCTGGCTCTTGGGCTAGCAGAGAAATATGGTCAGAGTAGCCTGACAAGAGAGCCCAGGGACCCCAAAAAGCTGGAGCTACTGGAAGGAGGCCCACTGTAGAAGCAAAGGGGAAGTGGGCAGATCATAGGAGGGCAACCATACCTGAACCAGAAGCTGGAGGCTGGCACTCCGAGGAGGGGTTCCTTGGTCGTGAGCACTCAGTGTTAGCACGTAGTGGGGCCGCTCTGCTCGGATCAGGGAGGCTGCAGTGAGCAGCTCCCCTGAGTGAGGATGCAGAGAGAAGAGCTCTGAGCCTGGACCTGGGGACAGCCAGAGGGAAGATGAGGGTTTGGGACCTGAGCAGGGCTGGCCACAAGAACATGCCCTTCTCCCCACTCCCCTACCGGTGAGTGTGTACAGGATGGTCCCATTTTCCCCCTCATCTGGATCCTTGGCCTGCAGAGTTGTTACCAGGGTTCCGGGAGGTACGCGGTCTGGTACCTGTGGGGACAAAACTCACCTACAGTTTGTCTCCTTCCTGTTTTTGAGGCAACTCAGAATGGAGTTCCTCTCACCTGTGTGCAGGGAGTCCCTTTTCTGCTCTCACACCTGTTATCAGCAGCTATCTCTTCCCTACACCTACAGCTCTAGGGGAGACCCCCACTCCCTCTCACACTTCTTTAGGATAGGGTTCTGCAGCTTCACATACCTGAATAGGGAGGCCCCCACCAGCGGCCCCTGACGCCTGCAGGAAGGTAGGGCTGTTGTCATTGAGGTCGAGCACTGCGATGTGCACGGTGCCTGTGGTGCTGCGGGGTGGGCTCCCCCCATCCTGCACCTGCACCAGGAGCTGGAAGCTGCTCTGCTGCTCGCGGTCCAGGGTTTGGAGTGTGGTCACTTCTCCTGGGAGTACAGGATGAAGATCACGTATTGGATATTTAGAGATTCGGAGCCCGAGAACTACACGTAAGAAGCTGGAGTTGGGGAATAAACACCAGGCTGTCCTGGTTCGAACAGTCAGAATCTGGGCTGGGAGCTGAGGATTGTACCTGGGTGTTTGCCAGTGTGGGGATGAGGCTGTAGGGTTTCAGAATTTGGGTCCCAGTGCTTACCAGTCTGGGGGTGGATGCGGAAGGCCTTATTATCCTCTGACAGCTGTCGCAGGCTATAGGTCAGACGTCCATTAGGTCCAGAGTCTCGGTCAGTGGCAAAGACCTGGCCCACACTGGTCCCTGGGGGCTGGTTCTCAACCACAGATAAGAAGGTAGGCTCTTCAGACAAGCGGGGACTGTGGTCATTCTGGTTGAGGATGGTGACCCTCACAGTGGCTGTGCTTGTCTGTTGCCCCAACTCAGCCTTGGACCCAGATACTGCCATTATCTTCAGCGTGTATAACTCCTGGGACTCTCGGTCTAGTGGTGCCCGAATCCACAGCCACCCACTCTGTGGCTCCAGGCCAAAGGGGCTACTTTCTCCATCTGATGCAAGGTGATAGGTGATAGGGCTCCCATCTGGTGCCTGAGCCTGAACTTGCAAGACCTGAGTTCCAGGGGTGGTGGCTAAGGGCAAGTCTACACGGTAGCTAGGACTATCAAATCGGGGAGCCAGCCCACGGGTCCCCAAGTCCTGTACTACCACCCGAAGTCGAAAGTGGCTGGTACGTGGTGGGGAGCCCCCATCCCGGGCCTCCAGCTCCAGCTCATGGGCTGGTCCCCCTAGGGGTCCCAGGGGTCCCATAAGTCGTACATGGCCAGTGGTAGGATCCACAGTGAAGGCCCCATCACCTCCAGCAAGCAGGGTGAAGGTGACTCGACTGTTAACACCTGAGTCAGGATCCAGAGCCCGTAGTGTATAAATTGGTGTCCCTGGGGCAGTGTCTGGTGGCAGCAATACTGTGTCTTCAGGTGCAGGGAAGGCAGGGGAGTTGTCGTTCACATCATCCAGCAGCACACGCACGCGGCCTACAGCGAAAGCTGGAGGTATTCCACTGCCTGCTCGGACCTCCAGTTCCAGCACAGGTCCCAGAAGCTCCCGGTCCAGAGGGCGAAGTGTTTGTAACAGCCCTGAGGCCGAATCTAGGGAGAAGAGTCTCCGAGGATCCCCGCCTGACAGGGCGAGAGTCACAGGCCCCAAGCGACCTAGAGAGGAGGAAAGGAGGTCAGGAAAGGGAAGGGGTCAGCTACTGAGTCAGGGTACAGACTCAATGCAAGAGGGCCTGGGTGTTACCCACATCTGTGCTTTTCAGAGTCTTATGAAGAAGTGTGAGGGCACAGAGGAGCGGGCTGGACTAGGGTAACATCCATATGCTAGTGTTTTGTACTGGGGCTCCCTGAGGTGTGATACTCCAAAGCACCTTGAGATGGTGCTGGAGGGCTAAACTGGGACATGTGAGTGTGGCACCTAGTGGTTAGAATGGGAAATGATACCTGGTGGGTTGTGGGCCTGGATCACGCCCACACTGGTGCCTGGTGCTACATCCTCTGGCACAGAAAAAACATACTGTAGTTGCTCAAATACAGGTGGTGTGGGGGTTCCAGGTACAATGCTGATGTTGACTCGGGCACTGGGTTCTGCCTTCAGTCCACCTCCGTCCTGAGCCCCGATCTCCAGCTGCACCACAGAATTAGCCCGTCTGGCCAAGGACCAGGCTACTGTCAATAGCCCTGGAGAAGGCACAGAGAGAGACAGAGAGAAAGTGAGAGAGAGAGAGAGAGAGAGAGAGAGAGAGAGAAAGAGAGAGAGAGAGACAGAGAGATAGAGAGAGAAACAGAGAGAGAGAGAGAAAGAGAGAGAGAGAGACAGAGAGAGAGAGAGAGAGAGAGAAACACATAAAGGAAAGAACAGAGAAGCAGGAGCAATGCCTCATTCAGGCAGGTGGGGAGAGGGCCTGGTATGGGAGAATTCTTACCTGAGTGCTCATCCAAGGCAAAAAGTGGGGGGCTATTGCCAGCCAGGATGTGGTAGGAGAGTCGCCCATGGGGTCCTTGGTCAGGGTCATGGGCACGCACCCTCAGCACAGCTGTGCCTGGTGTACTCTGGGCACTCAGACTGGCAGCATACTCCCACGGATAAAACTGAGGTGGGTTGTCATTCTCATCTGACACGAACACCTTCACATATACCATGGATTTGAGGCCTCCCTGGTGGGACATGCAGCATAGGTCAGGTGGGCCGTGTTTGGCCCTGGTAAGTGTACTACCCCAATGTCCCTGCCCAACGCCTGCCTACTCACCCCATCTACTGCCGTCACTGTGAAGTCAAAGCTTGAGGGACCCTGGTCGCGGTCCAGGATGCGGGTTGTGCACACATCACCACTGTGGGCATCAATGCGGAATGGGGGAGGCCCAGAGGCCCCAAGTCCAGCACCCAAGGAATAGGACAGGAGGCCAAATGGACCACTGTCTGCATCTGTGGCTGTCACCTGAAGAGAGGCTGGGGTGAGTGACGTCCCCTCTTGTTGACCAGAAAAGTCAGAGGAGGTGGCAATTAGAAAGAGCAACTAGTGCCCAGAGTCCCCAAATGGTGGCTGCCCAGAGGGAACTGTAAGACACGGACCAAAATCTAACCCCAGCCCAAACCTTAGCACTTGGTTAGGTTCCCAATCACAACTTTTCTTTTAAGTGGTAATACATAACCTTGTTTAATATGTATTTCTGTTTAAAGATGCTTTATTTAACATACACTATTGATTTTTTGCTTGTTTCTGTGGATCAAACCCAGGGATGACAGGCAATTGCTCTACCACTAAGTTACACTCTTAGCCACTTTTTGACTCATTAACATTGAACTCACAGCCTCTCACACTGTAACTTATGCCTGAATGAAGCGTATTTAAAATGCATTTTCTTTGTAAGACATATCACAGCCTTCTTGTGCTTAGGGAAACTAGATAGCACTCTTAGCAGTACACTTGGGGACTGTTTTAAATAGCAAAATCATCCAGAAAAAGCACAAAAATGCAAAAACTGTGGCATTAGACCTCAAAAAGGATATCTTTTTTTCTTGGTGCAAGAGCTGAGACAAGAAGTCAAAGCATCATCTTTTTTTACCTTAGCCGGGAATATGCTTATTGGGTGACTCAAAGTTTTCATTGCTCTGCACATGTCTGGGAAATGCAAAAGTGCTGCGAGTATTGATTTGGGGGTTACAAATACATTTTAGAGAGTCAGTGAGTTTACAAATAACAATGACCAACTGTACTTACAAAAGGAGTTCAAAGACACTGTAATGTCAATTCCAGGTGGATCACAGGAAGTTAATACCCTCACTGAGCCTCCAAATCGCCCAAGTGGAGAGAACTGACCAACTAATATGTTACTGATTAATATTGTAGGTCTAATGTGCCCTGAGCTTGATTATAACAGAATGAGACCTAATCATCATAGGATGTGCTCTTTGGATTTACGGCTGTGGCTTATGTACCTTTAGACTAGGATAGGGCCTGGTACTCAGTAGATTCTCTATGTGTACTTGTTCATTAAGTAAATGGATATTCTGGTGATCCTGATTTGTAACAAAACTCTCTTTCATCCTAAGTTTTATACATCCCTTAATAGTGGGCTCACTGGTGCTGACTGCTGCAGGCTGTGACAAAGTGCTCTTTGTGAATAGAAGGACCTTAGGGTCATGATACACTGTAAGAGGAAGCTGGAGAGTCCTTTTTCTCAGCCAGAAAATGTGCTCAGAGAGAAAGCTGGCCAAGGATTTCTGATTGTTGCCCAGGCCCATTGTTTACCCTCCCGAGACACCCAGACCCTGCCACAGCTGAACCCTGGAAACAGCTCCTGCTCCAACTCCACTGTGGCTATGGGGCCGGATATCCCAGGAGACAGACTTTCCCCTGCATCAATCTTGTGGGCAGCCACACAGCTGCAGCACCATCTCGAGAAGCTGTTAAAGACCTCTGCCCTCTGACTCGCTGCAGGAAGAAAGTGATAAACAGTGGTCAGGGGAAGTTGTCAGGAACTGACCCAAAAGGTGCAGGGGCCACTGACTGGAAATGACCAAGGCAAAAGTTAATGTCCTGACCTGTACAGCTTCTGCTCAGAGGTTTCACTTGCAAATACACAAGTTTCCATTTTCAGTAGTTTCTCAGTTCAGCTTCTCAGTCCAGCCTTAGTCAGCTCCCTGTTCCCTTCTGCCTCAAAGCTATAATACATATCCTCTGCTCTTGTCCCCTTCCAATTCCTAGCTCTCATGAGATGTACTATTTCAAGGAGAAAAAGAAAGACCTTTCATCTGTGAACTCTCTAAAAATCCTGCCAGGCTTTAAACTTACTCCTTATGCCCATCCTGATCTCCTTCCCAGGTGCACATCCTGTTTTGATATTTGACTTGACAATTTCCTGCTTTTCTTCCCACTGCTTCACCCTCACCTCCAGTCTTTCTCCGTCTTCCTTTACTCTGCTTGTTTCATGCACTACTGCGCCTTGGAATCTCTCCTTGACCTCCTCTCACCCTGTATGCTCTGTCAGGGCCTTCTCCTTCACTTCCCTGGCTTCAGCCGTCATCTATTCTTTCAAACTGGATCACACCCGTAAGTTGCAGACTTATATATCCAGATGTCTGCTCAACATCTCTACTTGGATGTGTTCAAAACTAAACTCATGATCATTCCAAACTTGCTCTGATGACTCTTCCACCCACACTGCTGCTTAAGCCAAAAATCAGTTCCTCCCTTTTCCTCACCTGGTATATCCATCAACTGCGGTCTTACTAAGTCATTGTCTCTTCTATTTGTCTATTTCTCTCCATTGCCATTGTCACTATCCTGATTTTGTCCTGAATTATTTCTCCCCTGGACTGTTGCAATTCCTTCCTCATAGGAGTCTGATTCTCCAATCTGTCTTCTATCCCAGGGTTTCTTAATCTTGATACTACTGATTTTTTAGTCTCTCTCTCTCTGTCCCTCCCCTTCCCTAACATCCTTCTCTCTCCTTTATTTCTCTTTCTTTCTTTCTCTTTCCCCCTTCCTTCTTTTTTTCCTTCCTTCCCTCCTTCATCTCTCTGTCCCTCCCTCCCCCGCTTTATATGTGTGTGTCTGGGGTGGTATTAGAGAGTGAACCTAGGGCCTTTTCGCTGAGCTACACACCCAGCCCTTTCTACATTTTTTTTGTTGTTGTTGTTATTTTGTTTTGGGACAAGGACTTGCTGATTTGCTAAGTTCCCAGGCTGAGCTCAAATGTCCAATCCTTAGCATCCCAAAGTGCTGGGATTATAAACAGGCACCACCATACCCAGCTACTACTGACATTTTGAACCACATGATTTTTACTGTGTGGGCTGTTGTCTGTCTTACAGGATCATTAACAGCATCCATGGTCTCTACCCACTCGATGCCCAGTAGCATCCCAGTAGTTGTGACAATCAAAATGTCTCTAGACATTGTCAGATGTCTCTTCTAGGGAGTCAAATTGTCCCCATTGTGAACCAGTAATTGACACTAACTAACATTTGAGAAAACACATCTGATCATTTTACTTCTCAAAAACTTCAATATTCCTTATAGAAAAGAGGCTGGCTCCTTCCTGTCTATCTTACCTGCACATTCTCATCTCACACTCTCCCGTCTCCCATCCTAAACTGCAGAGATACCGACTGTCCCTGAAGAAGGCTTTCCCACTCCTCTGTGCATGTCACCCAGCTAGGAACCTTTCCCCTCAGAAACACCTGCTCATTCTTCATGTCCCAACTCCAGGGGACACTCATAACGCCTATACACTTGTTGCAGAAGCTTCCTCATTGCAATCAACTGTTCCTTTACAAATGAATCCCTTCTAGACTATACATGAGAAGGAGGATAGGAGTTAACTCCTGTTCATTACTCTGTTCTGTATCCCAGAGACTGGCACATGGTAGAGACTCAATAAATATCTGAATAGGGCCAGGGATTTAGCTCAGCGGTTCTGCTGCCTGCCTTGCAAGCACAAGGATACAAGTTCAATCCCCAGTACCA